CAAAAGCCTTTTAGTTTCTACTAATGGTCATCAAATATTTATTCCAGTCTCTCTTTTGTTAAAACGTAAAAAAAAAAAAAAAACTTCAAATATAAAGTCGTGCTCTTAGGAATATGGCATTTTAAAATTTTCTTTTTTTTTTTTAAAGATTTTATTTATTTATTCATAAGAGACAGAGATAGAGAAGCAGAGGGAGAAGCAGGCTCCCCGCTGAGCAGGGAGCCCAATGTGGGACTCGATCCCAGGACCCCGGGACCATGACCTGAGCCGAAGGCAGACGCTTAACCATCTGAGCCACCCAGGTGCCCTAAAATTTTCTTTTTCAAGGCACAGGGCAAAGAAGGGGCAGAGCGTAGAGCTCTCTGGATCTCCGACAAAATGCCTCAGTACCGCTGAGCACAGGGGATGCATCCCCCACCCCTACCCAGCACTTCCCAGGTGCCACCTGCATCAACCCAAACCCTCACTGAGGGCACCCAGGTCCCGAGGCACCCGTGGCAGGCACAGAGCAGCCTTCTAAACCACAGAACCATTTTTTTCTTACAAATCTCTGCCCTGAGCTGAACACCCCCTCCATTTATTTTTCACAGAGACCTCACAGAAGAAAAATCACGCCTACACCTTTCTTTTAAAATATATACATTATAGAGAGATATATTATATGTACCAAACAAGAAATAATAATTCTGCAAGGGGGTAAGTGGTCACCTCCCCCAAGGCCTCTGCACCAGCTTCAGGCTCCTAGTGAGACGTGTGTCCCGCAGCTCCAGTCACACGCACTAAAATCAGCTGCTCTGCAACTGGGCTGCTGGTAAAGGCAGGATTGGCAAGACTGGCAGGCTTGCAGGCAAGAGGGGACAGGGCAGCACAGCGTGGCAGCTGGGCTGGCCCCTGCAACCAGCGCGATCGCTTCATCAAGGGGAGGGGGCGCAAGAGATCTAGAAAGCCCTCAGAGACTACAGAGCACAAAATTCAGTCCCGGCGCCCTAACTGCCCCAAAGCTGTCAAGCTAACTGTCAGGACTGGGTCAAGAGTGATGATGACACAGAGACAGGCAGCTGCTGGAGCTCCTCGGTGACACGTATCTTCCAGCGCTGGCTGCCAACACCAAGCTCAACAATGACCTTTCCGATCTGACCCACTGTATCTAGATGCTTCAAGCTTTGTCTGTCTTCAGTGCTGTTTTCTCCTCTATTCCTGGCTTAGAAAGTTCTAAATAATAGCTGTGTTCCTCTCTCCAGACTCAGCCCTTGCATTCCAGTTCCCAGTCCCAAACAACCCCCTTCTGGTCCCCAAACATGCCGTGCCCTCCCAGAGCCCTGCACCCACAGTCCGTTAGGTACCACTCCATCGTTTTCCCCAGTGGCGCCTCCATAATAGCACTCACCGAGCCAAGAGGCTGTCACTCATCTCATCCCAGCACTGCCTTAGGAGGGTCACTGCCGCCCCATCCCCTCTTCTGCAGAGAAACTGGCTCAGAAACCACAAGCCGGGGGGCACCGGGAGCTGCAGGGTTAACATCCGGGCAGCCAAGAGCTTGGCCCAGCTGCTCTGTTACAAGCAAGGGAGACCCCTCCTCCCGTTGCTGCCACTTTGTCAGAGCTTACAGGTGAAGCCCTGACCAGTCGGAGCCACTTGGAGAGGGGCAGCAAACCAGAGGGACCATAGTGGTTTGGGGGTGCCTGGGCTCACCTCTTACTTTTCTTACATGCCCTCAGAGGCACCAACCTGTAGCGTAAGCTCTGGCCCTTGCCCCGTACAAACCCCCAGGCAGGGAAGTGGACATCTCTGGCAAAAGGAAATCTCAAACCAAAGTCGATACGAGACGTGTACAACCTCATCAGACGGAATGTTTACACCATGAAGCAGGATTATGGGGACAGACCAATTTTAATTAGCATAACAGAGATCCTCTAAGGTGTAAAAGAAGAAATTGTAATACAAATCACGGAGAACTATTAAGAAGAAAAATACAGAAGTTGAACACAATAGACAAGCAGCTTGATGGGCATAAGAAGAGGACAGAGAGATGCGACGGAATGTCAGGAAGACGGATTCAGCTAGAAGGAGGAAGAAAAGAATGAAGGAATATATTCAGATATAGAGAAAATAAAAGCAGAGATTTCAGCATCCGGATAATAGGGGACAAGAAGGAAGAAGGCTGGGCGCCTGGGTGGCTCAGTTGGTTAAGTGACTGCCTTCGGCTCAGGTCATGATCCTGGAGTCCCGGGATCGAGTCCCGCATCGGGCTCCCTGCTTGGCAGGGAGTCTGCTTCTCCCTCTGACCCTCCTCCCTCTCATTCTCTCTGTCTCAAATAAATAAATAAAATCTTAAAAAAAAAAAAAAAAGAAGGAAGAAGGCTAAAACAAATAAAAAAGAAAAGGAAGTATTTGGAGAAAATTAATAATTCCCCAGAATTAAAAAAAAGATTCAAGATTTCATACTACAAGAGTTTAGAAAGGACCAAACAAGATACATAAAGACCCACACCAAGGCACATCATAGTGAAATTTAAGTATATTGAGATTAAATGCAAATTCTAAAAGCTTCCAGAAAGAAAGAGAGAGCAAAAGATCTGGCTAACATCAGATTTTTCTGCGTCTGCAATACCGACGCAGAAAGACAAGGCAGTGATATTCTTAAAGCCCTGAAGGGAGGCGCCTGGGTGGCTCAGATGGTTAAGCGTCTGCCTTCGGCTCAGGTCATGATCCCAGGGTCCTGGGATCGAGTCCCACATCGGGCTCCCTGCTCGGCGGGAAGCCTGCTTCTCCCTCTCCCCCTGCCCCTGCTTGTGTTCCCTCTCTCACTGTCTCTCTCCCTCTGTCAAATAAATAAATAAAATCTTAAAAAAAAAAAAAGCTCTAAAGGCAAAGAACTTTGAACGCAGACATCTCAAACGTGAGGGCAAAAGAAAGACGTCCTCAGGCATGCAAAGCCACTGGCGGTTTGCTGCATAAAGGCTCAATCTGAAAGTGGGCATCACGAAAGTGCTCAAATATAAGGATAAATAATCAAGGAGGAGAAGATACATGGGAAATAAGGCTGGTCAAAAACTTAGTAAGCTTTGTTGCCTAAAAAAGAACCAGGAAAAAAAAGGAAAGGATTTCCAAAATTCCAGAATTAAAAACATTAGACAACAACAACACACTTGGGATCAGGGCTGGGAAAAGAAAGACCCAAGGTTCACATGAACCTGTAAGATCCTTGTATTATCAGAGGACTAAGACGGCATTTGAGAAATGATAATAGGGATAAATAAACTCCAATTTGGATCTTAAGAGCAACGGCTATAACAACAAAAACAGAATTTGTTTTAAATGATAAGAAAGTTTCTTTTTATCTATCCATTAGAAAGCAGGAAACGAGAAAAAAATTTAAAAACCAATATAATATGAGAAAAAATATTAAGATGTTAGGAAAAAATAAATAAATAAATAAATAAAGATGTTAGAGATAACTTAGTTAAACAATAATTACAAGTGTAAATGAAAAAACGCAGCAATTAAGGACTCTTAGATTGGCTACAAGTAATACATTGCCTGTGAGAGACAGATACACACAAAGAAAAGAGAAAGAGGATGGAGAAGGGTATCCCAAGCAAATATGAACCAAAAGAGAGCTGGAGAATCAATCTCAATATCTGACAATATAAAAATTCAAGAAGTAAAAAAAAAGCAGGGGACACAGCCATGTGCTATATATACTGGGAGAAGAAACAAAAGAGTATAAATATGACCTTTCACATTATATCTACCTAACCATTATGATCTCTTACATAAAGCAAGAACTGAGGGTGCCTGAGTGGCTCAGTCATTAAGCGTCTGCCTTTGGCTCAGGTCATGATCCTGCGGTCCTGGGATCGAGCCCTGCATCAGGCTCCCTGCTCAGCGGGAAGCCTGCTTCTCCCTCTCCCACTCCCCCTGTTTGTGTTCCCTCTCTCGCTGTGTCTCTCTGTCAAATAAATACAATCTTTAAAAAAAAAAAAAAAAAAAAAACAAAGCAAGAACTGAGAGGATGGCAGGAAGAAAAGATAAATCAACAAATACCCGTGGATATTTAAACCTACTCCTTTCAGAAACTGCTAGAACAGGCAAACAAAAAATAAGCAGAAATATACAAGAGCTAAATAATCCACTAAACAAACGCTCAAGCAAGTAAATCTAGAGAGCTCTTCACCCAAACGGAGAATATGGAATGATTTTCAACATTCATAAAAACTAGCCACACTCTAGGCTAAAGCCTCAGTAAATTTCAAGGACTCAATATCACAGAGACTGTCTGCTCTGATCACAAAATTAAAAAACAATAACAAAAATCAAAGCTTTACAAACTTGTATATATAGCTAGATATCAGGTGAAAAAGAAAGAGAAGGGAAAATTTTTTTAAAAAAATACATAGAACTGAGTAACAATGAAAACACAACCTGCCAAATTTGTGAGACACAGCTCACAGAAGAATGGATACTGTTAAATACATGCCTCTGTTCATTCTTGAGTGCCGAAATGAGCGAATGTTTCCCTGAAAGCCACCCAAACAGAACATGGAGCACTGTGGAAAAGCTCTCACAAAATCTACAGCTAGCTCCCTGGTGGCCTGCCAGGTGCTCTGGCCCCTAGGATTCATGAGAGACAAAATATAATGCTATCAAACAGAAATCTCAAGGAAAAAACCACATGGAGCAATGGTACCCCACCTTTATTAATAGCTGCCCAGGAGGCCTATCCAAGCTTAACCAAGGCCTAATCTATGTCAGGAAAAAAATACCATGACCCTGAAACTTACAAAAGTCCATACCCTTTGGATCCCCCATTAAACTGGATGTAAAAACCAACAGACCCTAGAATCCAGGCTCTCCTAAGTAGCTGCTAAGGACCAGGCACTGCTAATTTCATACCCACCCCTCGGCCACCAAGAGCAAGCCCTTCCCACCGTGTGAGATGAGGAACTCCCCCTCTGATGTTACTGTCGTGAGAATAAGACACGTTTGTACACAAGTACCTGGTAGGGTAAGTCAGCCATCCTTAAGTAAGTTTCCATTTTCAAACAGAAAGGAGACAAACTGGGGACACCATTGTTAGGTCTTGCAAACTGATGCAAAATAATAGCATCTTTGGAGTCAATCTCTTGCTGTTTCCTGCCAAAACCAAAACAGAAATAAAGAACAATCCACGTGTTACACATTCAATTCCCTGAGTTCCCCGGAGGTCCCTGGTGGGTTGTAGCTCCTCCATGAACAAGCAGATCTGTTTGTCACGGGGGCTCACCTCACCCAGGAGCAGAGTGGAGGCTTAGCCAAAACACGAGACAACCTTACAAACGATCACGGTGACCCCAAGGGCTTAGAGAGTAGCTATGTATCAACCTCCCTCGGCTAACTATAGCCCATGGGGGCAGGAAGAGTACTTTGTAATACAGGCCCACCCTTCTCCAGCGGGCTATGCTTGGTGGCCAGGCACAAGCTGAAGGGATAAAAATGACAGTGTGTGCTTCCTGGGTGTCGGGCATTGTTCTAAGGGCATCACAGGTATTATTTCATTTAATCTTCACAATAACTTTATGAGGAAGCTACTACTCTTATCATGGGTGATAGATGAGGAAACTGAGGCAGAGAGGATTGCCTTGCCCAAGGTCACCTTGCTAGTAAATGGCATACCCTGGACCGAACCAGGAAAGCAGAGTCTACGTTCTTGACCCCTGGACTGTACCATGAAATTGTCCCTAGAACCCAGGAATAACAGCACAGTTTTACTCTGCTAGGAACCAAGACTGCAGGGAATCTGAGACCCTGAATATTCTGGTCCCCCTTCCAAACCATGTGTGCCCTCACCTGGCCTTTCATCTGTGTGATACCAAGGAAGCTGGCTTCTGGGCTCTCTTTCATCTTCTCTAGCTTCCCAGGGTCCCCACTCTAGACACACAGCATATAATTTAATACCCTGCCTCTCCTCTTTCTTCTCTCTCAGCCACACGTCTAGCTTTCCCTTGGCTACTTTTTTGGGTGGGAGCATTTCCCTGGTGCAGCTTTTCAGTGGACACCGTATAATAGAGAAAATGCTAGATTCCAAGTGTGGATACCTGGGGTCACATCCAAGCCCTGCTTCTTACTGGCCACGTTATCCTAGGCCTCTCTTCCTCTCACCCACAGAAAGTGAGGGCAGTACCAATTCTGCATCAATTAGCATGAGGATTAAATTTTAAAAATCAGTAAATATTTGTGGAGCTATCCAGCAGCGTGTAAGAATGGTAGAAATCTATTCTCATTCAGAGATACGGTCTTATCCCCTTAAACTACACTATCTCATCATCCCCCACAGCTTCGCTCCTACACCACCCTCAGGAACCATTTGCAATTCCCCGTCTTTAGCTCGACCCAACCACTTCCCAGTCAAATAGACCTCACTCTTCCCCTAGGCCTTCCCTGAGCCTCTGGTTCCCTCACATCACTCCCAGTTTAACCTACTTCCACCCAAGCAAGGGCAAGCTCTTTGTATCATCAGCCTATGGAGCTCACCTCCTGAGGTATCTGCGTTCAGTAAAACCAACTCTTTCGGAGAAGTTTACCACCAGAGCGCCCATTCCACTTAAAGAGTTCAGAATGACTCACTTGGAAAACACTGCTCAAGTCAAAAGAACACAAATATTTGCTGTTTTCCGGCAATATTTGCTATATAAAACAAAGACTTTCATTCAGATGAAATGTTGGGGAGGTCAGATATTAAAATTAAGAAGCGTCTTAGACTGTTCCCAGAGAGCACAAACTAGATTTGACAATTAACTGATTTTGTCCAGTCCAATAATTCAAGTCACAGAGTGGTATTTTCATGTAAAGTAGCCAGACAAAAATTTAAGAACTGGAAAGAGAGGAGATAAATGTAAAATCTTCTGCTCTGCTGGCCAGAAATACCTAATTCTAATGGTTAACTTGGGCCATATCATATTAAGAATGGATGTGACAAGCATATGCCAATGACTTTGTATACATGATGCATATTATTTCATTCTGAAGTAACACCATAGCATGGATATTGTTATAGTTTGAATTCAGTGTATTATACTATACAGTAGATAAGGAAACTGAAGCTCAGAGAGGTTAAATAACTTGTCCAAGGAGTATCACTGTAAGATCAGGTCATTATTAGCTCCAGATCCCAAGCCCTTAAGCCCCTTCAACACCACTGAAATGGGCAATGTCTCAAGTAATTCTATCAAAACAGCCAGTTTGACTCAGACCACTCAAGCCTGGAACTTACGGAAGGAAGTTTTGATAGCCAATGATGGCCAACTTTTATTGCATGCTCACTTCCATGTCAAACTGTTCGAAGCAATTCACACGTGCTAACTCAACCAACTCCATAAGGCAGGCTACTATGATTACCCCCATTTTACAGATGAGAAAACCAAGTAGCCAAGAAGCTTCTTCTCATCTCCAAGGTTACATGGTTAAAATAAGCAAAGTGAATGTGGACCTACTCTGGCTCCAGAGCCCTCCTTCCACACATCAGAAACTACTCTCTAACGCAGAAGAATCAGAGGAGCAGGTATTTTTTAAAATACCTGGACAGCTGTACTTTCCAAAGTGGCTTTATAATGAGGGTTATATAAGAGAGCACGTACAGAACAGCAAGACTAGCCTCTACTCCCATCATGACGGATATCATGGATGACCATGCCTCTGTGTACGGCTGACCAGCTGTTGGTTTATGGAGGTCAGATGTTGGTTGACCTGGGGGCTGCTCTGAGTCCCTAAATTCTCTAGGACAGGTTGAGCCCAAGGGCCCAAAGTGCAAAAGATCTACCAACAACACAATCATTTAGTCATTCAATTTACAAACCACACATTCTCAAATGGATTGAATTTAAGATAGCTGCTAGGCTGTCACCACTCAGGGGAAGTAAAGTAGAGGGTTGAGACAATATTTGGTTAAAAATACTGCCATGGGAAAAGCAGGCATAAAATTCAAAATACCTCCTTTGGTTATACTCCTTAATGAAACTTCCTAAGTAATTCTCACCAGTCAACTTTCCTTTACACGCTAGACACATGGCCACACACTCAGGTTAAGTCTCTCCCCCAGAAAATCCAAGTCGAGTGGTAACGACTTTACCATTGTCCGTGACCTCAGACACTGTAATCATTTCAAGGTGTGTTTTCCATCCTGCAGATTCTGGATTGTTTTGTTTTGCCTAAACTACAGAGACACCTGACACTGAGATTTCGCCCTAAATGGAAGTCTCTGTCATGTCACCTCTGACTTACAGTCCCAGAACTTGTTCAGTCTTTCTCCCTGTCTTTCTGTGTCCCTAGAGGCTGTCAAAAACTCAGGTCCCTGCCACAGGCCTGTCTTCCCTGGGCCATGCCCCAATTCTTTACGTTTCTCTTCGTCTCCCTCCAGCCAGGCTTATGTTGTCATTGGTACTTTCTAGGAGGCAACGGGAAAAAATGCAGACTCCGCACACACACATTCCCAGGTCTGGATCCTACTACTCTTGCTGTGTGATTTTGGGCAAGTGGTTTAACCTCCCTCCCTCAGTTGTAAATGCCTTCTCTAAGAAATGGGAATCAAGCATCCAACCACAGTTGAGAGGAATAAATGCAAGTAAAGCACTTCTATACAGAGTCCCTACTAAGGGATCAAAAGTGGGCAGCCATTTTTATTATTTGCCTTATAACAGGGTTTTCTACTCCATTATAACATATTTCCTACCCAGGCTTTAGACATCCATCAAGAAACAAAAGTGAATAAACTAAGGATTAAAAACGTCCCAATCTAAAGAAGTATCCAAGTAGTATGCTAAGTGGGGAAGGACACATCTGTGGGCAGAGGGCTCTTCTGTGTCCAGAGACCACACCTGCCAGGGTGTGGCCTGTTCCCTGGATGAGCTCTGGGCTCCTTGCTATTTCTGCAAGGTCATTTAAGCAAGGTTTAGACCTGGTCCTATGAAGCCGTGCCTTCACCCCCTCCACAAAGTGTTAAACTGGTGAGAAGCCACATGGTTCTGGATCCTGAAAAGGTTCTGGACTGGAATATAATTGAGAAACAACTGGGTTACCATTTAAAGTACTGTACAGATGTTTTGGTTTTTTCATACAGCTTGAAATCTAACTTGAAATCAAGTTCTAAAACTAGCAAAAATAAGAAATGATCTAGAGAAATTCACTTTAAAAATCTTTATGTGTTTCGACTAGATGATTCAAGCCACCTTCTAAGTGAGAGAATTCAGGGTACATAATAAGCTTAAAATAAAACTTCTCAATTATGGCTAAATAATAGTGAAAGCCAGTACATTTCCTCAGACCTAGATGATTTCCCACCCTCTCAAGAGACTAGAAATATTCAAAATACCTAAGTTAGCCTGTCACAATGTCCTGGAATCCCTGCAGGCCTGTTAAAGGTCACGGATCACTGTCTTTGTTTATAAGCTATTGTGTAGGATCCCCCCCTGGAAAAAGGCAGTGTGGAACACATTTGTCACTACTTAAAAAATACTGGCCAACAGGGATATTCTGAGCTATTGAAAACTGCCCACTTCTGGTCATCTCCCAGGGTCATATGGCTCCAACGCATGGAAATTTTAATCATAAATTGATGTTATCAGTGAGCCAAAGGCCCATCCTAGGAGCCTATGGCATTACCCTACTCAAACAAAGATCTCAGGTCTTTCTGGATGTACCAACAGTAGGGGCCTCCCTTTTCTGGCATTTCCAAGTCAGTCCTGTAAACATTCTGCGGCAGGCAGCCTATGCCACTGCTTACGGCACTGGGTGACTCCCGTGTTCTTGTCAAGCACGCCCATGTGCTAGTCCCGTCCTCGGATCTCCCACTGCTCGCACACCAATGGCATTGAAACCGCACGATGGTGCTTAGCTTGAAAACACCTGAGCAGCCGATAACCAGGTTAAGGCTGCGTCAAAACTGCACAGCACCCTACTTGACCATGCCTCTTTCACGGGGACCCAGAGGTCTCTGGAGCTTTTGCAATTGCAGCTTTTTGATGATGTTGAAATTTGGGGAGGGATAGTGAAGAACTAACCTTTATGTAAAAGATAAGGTTAGTGGTTAATATCCCGGCATTATTACCTACAAACAAATAAGGCATTTCATGAAAGTGTAACTTAGTATCTCTACCAGGCCTCATTCTTCTTTCTTTTTTTTTTTTTTTTTTTTTTTTTTTTTCCAGGCCTCATTCTATTGTTGCAAACATTGCACTTAGGATCTTACTAAGGGCATTCCCTAATAGACTCTTGCTCCACAACAACCCGGAGAATTTTTGCTCTTTAGCACCAAAGGACTGGGACACAAATGTTTTCCCCTCCCACTACCAGTTTAATTCTCCTGTCAACTCGAAACTGCCCCTCAGGCCAGGTGACCACAGACTGCCTCTAAGGAAAGGTAAGGGCAGGATTCTTGGGCATTTGCACGGCGTGACCGAGAGGCTGGCACGGTCCCCCCTCGCGCCAGCCCTGCCCTGGCCAGGTGCCCCTCTCGGCGCCCCTGCGCGGGGCCCTCTCTCCGGCTCACCTAATGACCAGGAGTTCGTGGAGCAGATACGCAGCTGCGGCCAGCAAAGCTCCCCCGGTCAAGTAAAGTGTTTTCTTCCACCAGGGATCGGAGCCCAGCCCTGCCATGATCCCACCGTAATCCTGCAAAGGGAAAGCGATGATGTCCCCATAAAAGGAGAAGGGCTCCTCGGACCCGGCCCACCAGCCGAAGAAGGAGACGCTCTGGTTCCAGCTCAGATCCACCACGCACGGCCTGGACGAGGCAAAGCCAACCCCCCAGTGCATGCTGCGCGGCTGGCTGCGGGCGCCCCTCCCAGGGCCCGCGCCGCCCGCATGGGAATGGGGCCGGAGCGGCCCGGCGCGGGCTCAGCGGCGCGCTGGGGGCGCGGGCGGCGCGGGCGGCGGCGACCGAGGCGGCGGCGGCGGAGGAGGAGCAGGAAGGGCGCGGGCCGCGGGCGGCGGGCCTGGCCGGCGGGGCCCCAGGGCCCGGGGCGGCAGCGGCGGCCGCCGGGTCCCCCCGCAGCGGCCTCTCCGCGCCGCTCTTTGTGTCGGCGCCTGGAGAAGGCCGCGTGATGTCATTGCTCCCCGGGGCAGGGAAACAGAGGCGGGATAAAGTCACCTACCCCGCGCCCTGCCCCCGCCCCGCATCTCCGCGGTCCGGCGGCCTCCGCCCCGGCCGGAGCTGCAGGGCTGGGCGAGCCCGGCGGGCTCCGCGCCTCCAGGCGGCACGGCCGGGAACGGCTCGGCGCGCTGGGGCTAGGGCTGCGGAGGTGCCTGGAAATGCGGCTCCACGGGGAGGAAGCTGCAGTCAGGACCCGGATCTCCGTCCGCCCCCCCCCCCCTTCCCCGGCCCCCGAGCCCCGGCCCGCCCTCCGCTGTCGCTCCAGCTCCTCCCGCAGGCCCGAGAGCGCGGAGCGCGCGGGACTCACCTGAGGCCGCGCGGAGGGGCAGGCAGGAAACGCCACCCGGCGGGGGCTGGGAACGAGGGCCCGGATTAAGGTCGGCAATTAGATTGTTCTGGCCATTAGGAAAGCGCTGTGTATTTGCATAATTTATAAAAACACTCTTATTACAGTGCACAGTTACCTGGGTCTTGGCCGTGTGCTCACGGAGAGATGTCTGGTTTGACAAATAACAAATAACAACAAAAACGTACTCTAGAGAGATTGCCCCTTTGAAATCAGTATCAGGGAACTCATAGATGTGGGGTGTTTGGGCTTGTTTTCCTTCTCTTTTCGGTGCAGAAAATGTGGCATGTGTGTGTGTGTTTAATTTTTTTCCTTTAACTTCATTTTTAAATTCATTATGAAAAGTTAGTAAGTCCAAACAATAGGGCCATGTTTCATAGTTTTATGATACACACACGAATTTTAGCAAGAGTATGAATAGCTTAAAATTGTTTGGAGGGGGGCGCCTGGGTGGCTCAGTCGTTAAGCGTCTGCCTTCGGCTCAGGTCATGATCCCAGGGTCCTGGGATCGAGCCCCACATCGGGCTCCCTGCTCTGCAGGAAGCCTGCTTCTCCCTCTTCTACTCGCCCTGCTTGTGTTCCCTCTCTCACTGTGTCTCTCTGTCAAATAAATAAATAAAATCTTTAAAAAAAAAAATTGTTTGGAGGAACTGAAAAAAAAAAAAATCAAGTAGGGGATTTATCTATCACTCCAAAGGTGAAAGGATGGGTATAGGAACCCTCCAGGCTTTAGCGTCAGGGGGCAGACACTGGGGTAAAGGAGGACTCCCTTTCTACTTCCGTTACCACACCAGCCCCTTAGAACAGCAGTGAATGCTGTCACATTCCTAAAATACGGGCTTTTGGCCACCATGAAGGAGATACGGCGGAAGATGCTAGCCATGAACCAGCACTTGCGGGGTCCCATTCACCACTGTGTCTGCACACGTGACCTGTGTGGGAGAAGCAGTGTGTGCGCTTGGAAGCGAAATTCCCATAAGCAGGTTCTAAGGAATGGAACCCAAGGGCCTGCTGGAGTGACAGAGCTGGTCACCAGATTCTTCCTGGGAGAGGGACCAGAAGGCTTCAGGAAGCAGAGCGGGCAAGTTTGGGGTCAGCGCAGAAATTCTCCTTGCCGGCATGCCTGGCTGGCTCAGTGGGTAGAGCATGCGGCTCTTGATCTCCAGATGGTGAGTTTGATCCCACGTTGGGTGTAGCGATTGCTTAAATAAATAAACTTTATTTTTAAAATGTTTTTAAATAAATAAACTTAAAAAAGAAAGAAATGCTCTGTGCAGAGATGGGACAAGGAGCTCTGCACCAGTGATTCTTCGTTCTTCTATGCCCTTCCCACATAGCACTAAGTCTTTGCTCTCATTAGATGTTGAGCCAATATTTAAAGAGTGACCATTTGTTATTTGGTACTGAATTATTTGCCTGAGTGTCCAGGTTCAGTCATGGGGATGAGCATAAATCACCTGCGGTGAAGCAATATGGAAGGCAAAAGGGAGAATCAACACTGGCAAACTTGATGTCCAGGAAACAAGTTAGAAACCAGATGAATTGAATGTTTTGATCCCAGAGAGCCACTTGCTGCATTTTACTCCCACAGCTCTTCTGGTAGGCAGACCTGCCCCGCCCACTCATGGAAGCCCGGCCAACTGCTGCTTCCTGGTCCTATCAGATCATCTTTGAGCATTACCTGGTCTTTAGTTCAAATGTGGTTTAAATTTTCAAAGACGGGGCGCCTGGGTGGCTCAGTCGTTAAGCACCTGCCTTCGGCTCAGGTCATGATCCCAGCGTTCTGGGATCGAGCCCTGCATGGGTCTTCCTGCTCCACGGGAAGCCTGCTTCTCCCTCTCCCTCTGCCCCTGCTTGTGTTCCCTCTCTTGCTGTGTCTCTCTCTGTCAAATAAATAAATAAAATCTTTTAAAAAATAAAAATACGGGCGCCTGGGTGGTTCAGATGCTAAGCGTCTGCCTTCGGCTCAGGTCATGATCCCAGAGTCCTGGGATCGAGTCCCACATCGGGCTCCCTGCTCGGCGGGAAGCCTGCTTCTCCCTCTCCCGCTCCCCCTGCTTGTGTTCCCTCTCTCGCTGTGTCTCTCTCTGTCAAATAAATAAAAATATTAAAAATAAATAAATAAATAAAAATAAATAAATTTTCAGAGACGCCCTGAAGGGAACATCTTTTAGATGCACATGTAAATAAAATAAAATTTCACGAGAAAAGCTAAAATATAATCTTAATCTGATGCAGATTAAAATTTAGCCTTTAGATTTGTGGCATAGAAGAGAGATTACTAAAACTCAGCTTGTATAAAAGTGAACGGAGGCAGAGTAATCTCTGCAGAGTCGGTAGACATAAGAAGTGGACAAATTTTGGTATGAGAATGTCAGAACAAAGCTATGGGGAACAAGGAAAGCCGCTACAGCTGTGAAGGCACAGGAGCCATGCAAGGCTTAACCAACCTTTGTGCAAGCTCCGACAAGCCCTACATGGCCAAGCTGCTCCACAAAGTGATGCAACCCACCCGTAAAGAGAAGGAAGACTATGGCTCAGAGGCAGGGGCTCAGCTCCAGGGGAGCGGTGGTGGTGTAGTTAACAGCCAGAGGGGAACTGAACAGACCTGGGTCAACAACTGAGTCTTCCAAAGAATGGCTCCTCACAATCCCCTGTGTAGGGCCAGATCCCAGGCTGAATCCCCAGTGGCTGTGCGGAACTCCTAGTCCTGCAGGATGAAGGTGTAGAGAGCTAAGTACGCCTGCCCTCCAGCCCCCCTCCCAGGGCTCCTTCAGCTACTGAAATGGTATGAAGACTATGGGTGCCAGATGTCCACCTCTTCCACCACCACCACCAATTCTGACAGCCTTCGTGTCAAAACCATGGACATAAGCTCCAAGCTAGAGGGATCTTGTTATTTTTCTTTTGCAAGGACTTTGTTTTATTAATTCTAATTGAGGTTTTACAAGACAAGAAAAGGGAAGGGACTAATATTTATTGTACACCAGACCTGCCTGTCTGGTGATATTTTTTTCAGTAACTTTTCAAAACAACCTGTAGTAGATAAGTATTGCCACCCCCAGCAACAAATGAGGAAAGTGAAGCTAAGGAAGGTAAATTAACAAGTTCAATTCCTAGAGCTAGGTAATGATACAGCCAGGATTCAAACCCACTGTGTCTTACACCAGCAGCCCTTTGAGCTTTCCACCATCTACAGTATCTCAAATGTAGCAGGGCTAGAGCGCTGTCCATGGTATTCCATCTTTACACCATTCTATTCTGAACTATGTCTAAATCTCATAGCTACAAATCCTCAAATACCTACCAGTTATACTGTCACCTTTGGAGAAAGGTGGGCTCAGACAGTTCCTTATGCTAATACTGCTATGCCTATTTATGCCTGGCTTTGATGATATGACAAGGGACAAGTAAATCGGTGCTTCCCAAACTTGTATATGTATATCAGCTGCAGCTCTGCCATAATGATCAAATAAGGGACAATTAGATCAGTTCTTCTCAAACGTTAGTGTGCACATGAATCACTTGGGATCTTTTTAACATACAAATTCTAACTCAGTAGTTCTGGTGTGATGTCTGAAATTCTGCATTTCTAACAAGCTTCCTGGTAAGACTAAACCATACTTTGATTAAAAGTGGTCTAAGCCAACTGAACTCTACATCTGAAACTAATGATATGTTATATGTTAATTAATTGAATTTAAATAAAATAATAAAAAAATAAAAGTGGTCTACACCACCAGCTTATGAAGAGGATCAAAGACTCTGCCTAAAAGGACCCTCCCAACACACACACACTCCATGTTGGATGGTTCTAAACCAGCCCAATCAAGTCACAGTTCTTGATGAGTTTGAACACCAGAGATACAGATAAAAGGGTTGGTGCAGCAGAATCAGACATGGAGAGAAAATGAATCAAGACTCAAGAGGAGAAATTAGAAGAGACAGGAATGCATATCACTTTTGAGAGGTCCTAGTCCAAATGCTAGGAGCTGAGAGAGGAAGCCATGGGGAGGAGAGTTGTGGGGGAGGGGAGTGGGAGTGGGAAGGGGGAGGAGACAGAGGATCCTGGGAGATTACTGTTAGCATAGCAACTTTCTCAAGTGCCAACACAAAGAGCATAAACAAATGGATACAATTCTTTTATAAATGTTATTGATACTTGAAAAAATTTATATTATACTTCATGTTTCAAAATACAGCTTAAAAGATTTAAGACCTTGCTGCTGTGGTAATAATAAGTGGATGTGATGCTGGTACTGTTGCTGGTTTTACATTATAAAATTTAAGATGTCATTTTATTAAAATATCTCTAAAATATTAGAAATTAAAATATTATTCAAAGAATAAACAATTTAATTGATAATGTTACCCTGGATTTTATTGTAAAGCTTCTGCTTTCTTGGCTTGACTTGTGGGGAAGAGATCTAACACTACCCTACCCAGGCATCCCGAATCCTCACCGACGTTAGAGCTGGAAGCTAGTATATCACCACAAAGTGACTTTGACTATCTGCTTTCTGATTGGCTGGCCTTGTGCATCTTTAATGCAACTATTAGAAAACATTTTCTGGGGGCGCCTGGGTGGCTCAGTCGTTAAGCGTCTGCCTTTGGCTCAGGTCATGGTCTCAGGGTCCTGGGATTGAGCCCCGCATTGGGCTCCCTGCTCGGCAGGAAGCCTACTTCGCTCTCCCCCACTCCCCCTGCTTGTGTTCCCTCTCTCGCTGTGTCTCTCTCTGTCAAATAAATAAATAAAATCTTTAAAAAAAAATTTTTTTTCTGCAAAATGGATTTGGTGCTGAGAAAATATATGCAAATAATAATCAGGCTCAGATGAGTGAGGGGCAGGGTCATAAGAAGGGTTT